TCCACACCTTTATCTCAGCAGTTCTGTTTCTAAGTATTCCTTTATATGTGGTTCAGAGTTCTGGCACCATCCCCTGAGCCTGCCTGGTCGGGTATTCTGTGTTGTTGTTGGCAGAGCTCCTTTACTGCACATCCACCCAAGCCACCATCTTGTTTGTTCTCTATTTCCACCTTTTTGAAGACGTGCAATACTGTTTTCCACAGTGGTTGCATCATTTAGCAGTCCTAAGGAGCTCTGGTAGCATAGTGGTTACAAATTGGGCTGTGAACCGTAAGGTCAGCGGTTCGAAAACCACCAGCCGCTCCGCAGGAGAAAGATGAGGCTTTTTAGTCCTGTAAGGATTTACACCCTCGGAAACCCTATACAGGGTCGCTATGGGTCAGAACCTACTTGACGGCACTTAACAACAACAACCAGCAATATAGGCAAGTCCCAGTCTCTCCACATCCTCACCAGCATTTGTTCTCTGTTAAACTTTGCTATTAATGCTGGTGTAAGATGATATCTCACTGTTGTTTTTATTAAGTTAGGTGATTTTATAACACATAGTCCTAATAATTTAATGGTTTATATATTCTTATTTTACAGATATGCCTTGCTTTATTGTGCTTCACTATAGTGTTTTGCAGCTATCGTACCATCGGGGCTCCTCTTGGAGGAAACAAATTGAGCTCTGTAAATTGTCAGTTGCAGTGTAGCAATTAGACTTTTGTTAGTTGCTGTTGAGCAGATTCCGACTCATGGAGACACACCACCTATGCAGACTAGAACTAAGACCTTCCATAGAGCATTTACCTGTTTGTCCCAATCACAGTCTCCAGCAGTGAGGCGCTATATCTATCATGAGAGAAGGCAGACGACCTAGACTCATGGTTGCTCTAACAGAAAACTTTCTCTCTCCAACAGAACCAAAGCCGGATACTCACCCCTGTTTCGCCTGCCTTCTGGCTTTCTCATGTCAGCAATTCCTCAGCCAACATGTGCTTCAGATCTTCCCAGGCTTGTGTGCAGAACATCCCTGCCATCCAGCGGGTGCCAGCCTAGGCCGTCAGAAGCCACCTGACCAGCAGGACTGTGATCAGAGGTTCAGGACTGAAAACACAGATGGTCAGGAGCGAGAGGTCTCCAAACCAATGTGTGGGAGGATAGGAGAGAGAGAGACTTCAAGGTCATTTTCCAGCTCACCCCAAAGACCATTAGCAGGCTCTAGAGAAGGCCTCACAGGGGTAGGAATACAGCCCAACTTGGCCCAAAGGCTGTCATCTGTGGAAACAGATGAAGCATTAAAGGAATTAGAAACTTCAACATTTGGAGTAGTCAGCTATAGAGAGGATGGAACAAACTGTTTTCTGAAGTCAGACTTCATCAGAAACCAGAGATCCCTCTTCCAAGAGAAGTCCCACGTGTGTAGTGAGTGTGGTCGAGGTTTTAACCGAAAATCAAACCTCCTTGTGCATCAGAGGACACACACCGGGAAGAAGCCACATGTGTGTGGTGAGTGTGGCCGAAGCTTTGACTGGAAATTGAACCTCCTCCAGCATCAGAGGACACACTCAGGGGAGAAGCCCTACGTTTGTAATCAGTGTGGCCGAGGCTTTACCCGTAAGTCAGGTCTCCTTTACCACCAAGGGACACACTCAGGGGAGAAGCCCTACGTTTGCAATGAGTGTGGCCGAGCCTTTACCCAGAAATCACTCCTCCTTAAGCACCAGAGCACACATTCAGGGAAGAGGCCACATGTTTGCAAGGAATGTGGGCGAGACTTTCTCCATAGGTCACGTCTTATTGGACACCAGAGGACACACTCAGGTGAGAAGCCATATGTTTGTGCTGAATGTGGCCGAGCCTTTTCCCATAAATCAGTCCTCCTTCAGCACCAGAGCACGCATTCAAGGGAGTGTTTGTATGTTTGCAATAAGTGTGGCCGAGGCTTTAATTGGAAGTCTGGATTCCTTAACCACCGGAGGACACACTCAGGGGAGAAGCCACATATTTGCAAGGAGTGTGGGCAAGGCTTTGACCAGATATGGAACCTCCTCGAGCACCAGAAGACACACTCGGGAGAGAAGCCCTATGTTTGCAGTGAATGTGACCGAGGCTTTACCCAGAAGTCCAGTCTCCTTATGCACCAGAAGACACACTCAGAGAAGCAATATGTTTGCAGTGAGTGTGGCCGAACCTTTACCCAGAAGTCATATCTCCGTAAGCACTACAGGACACACTCAGGTGAGAAGCCCTTTGTCTGTAGTGAGTGTGGCCGAGCATTTACTGAGAGGTCAGGCCTCCGTAAGCACCAGAGGACACATACTGGGGAGAAACCACATGTGTGTAAAGAGTGTGGACGAGGCTTCAGCTGCAAGTCAACTCTCATCACACACCAGTGGACACACTCAGGTGAGAAGCCATACGTTTGCAGTGAGTGTGGCCGGGGATTTACCAAGAAATCAGTCCTCCTTCAGCACCAGAGCACACACTCTGGGGAGAAGTTATATGTTTGCAACAAGTGTGGCCGAAGCTTTCATTGGAAGTCAGGTTTTCTTTACCACCAGAGGACACATTCAGGGCAGAAGCTCTCTTTGTAGTGACTGTGGCCAAGGCTTTAAATGAAAATCAGGCTTCCTCCACCAGCAGTGGCTACACTCATGACAAACCTCGTTGTGCAAAGCTTTGTGCAGAATCCGATCGTCATTATACACTAAAGACCACACTCGGGTGAACCCATGCATTTACAGTGAGTCTGGCTGAGGATTTGACTGGAAATGGAAGCCAACACCTAAAGACACACTTGTGAGAAACTCCAGGAGCGCACAAATGGGGGCGAGGCTTCAGCTCTCACATAGCCGCAATATACATCCAAGAGCTTACTTGGGAGTAACCCTCTGTTCGCAGTGAATGTGCAGAGCTTTAGCCAGAATCGGACTTACCAGACATCAGAAGACATGCTCTGATGGAGTGTGGCTGAGGCTTCAACTAGAAATCACTCCATCACCACTACACAGAGGCTCTACTTGTAAAGGAATTTGGGGAAAAGGCAATTTTCAGTGTCTGCCAGAGAATAACTATTTTTGATCATTGTGAGGTCAGCAAAAATGTGAGGTGGTTTAACAGTAAGTTGCACCTCTTAGATACTCTTAAGACCAAATCATTTTCTGCCCCCTTTTGTTTTGTTTTGTTTTTTTTAACAGCGGAAGCCATTTTGAAAGAACTGGGGGAAAAAATTACTTTTAAGGTGATGTGGATTTTGATACAATTACTGGGAAACTTATGTTCCAAGGACTCTCTGGTGCTAGGGTTGGTGAGATGAGGAGGAGATGAGATCAATTTCTTCAGATTTATGCAGATAACAAAGGCTCCACTAATCACTACATGCATTAAAAGTGGGATAGCACCTTCCCGGTATTCGCTGAAGTGTAAAATGTGTCTACCTGTGTCCCACAGGGCACAGAAGGAGCTACCTTTACTGTGGAGCTTTATCTGAGCACCTTTAGGCCAAGGCTTACTGTCAGAATGGAGTGTTAGGGACACACAGTGGCAGACCCAAAAGAGCTTTATAAAATTTACCAGAGCACATTAGAGACCAAGGGACCATGGTGCCCGACATTGAAAGCTAGGAAGAAGCGTGCCTTTGGTCATTACTGAGGACAGGCTGCTCTGATCAAAGAACCATATCCTGAGTAAATTCTGATCCTGAATTTCAAGTTCTTGATGTTAAGGGTTGTCAAGTCGATTCCAACTCATAGTGAACCTGTATTGGGTTTCTGAGGACCGGCTGGTGAGTTTGAACTGCCAGCCTTGCAGTCTGGTGCTTTACCCCACAGTGCCACACCAGGACTCCAACATGTTATTTCCCAGAATCCTTACTGTTTTCTGTGCATCTATTGCAATGAAGTAGCGAGTGCCTAGGGAAGGATGGCTGATGTCAGAGTTTAGTAACAGTTTCAGTGAGTGGAGGAATGTCTCACCTCTACATCAAAGGGCTGTTGGTCCTCCTCCCCATCTCCTTGTGAAGTTAGAGGAGATCCGAAGCTTCCACCAAACCATTTGTATGTAAATTATGTATGTGGAGGGTGGGGTGAGCTGCTATGCAACAAAAGGTAACAGAATTTGTAGTAGTGTTCAATGTTTGTTGAATGCTTACTCCAAGTCAGTCCAAGGTCTGGACTGAATTGCATTCTCTCATTTAGTTCTATCAACTCTATCAAAGTACTGTTATGTGCATTTTATAGATGAGTCTGAATTACAGAGATGTTAACTAGTCTACCTCAAGTTACTAAAATAAAGCCCATGGTTTATTTTTGGTATCAACGTCAATTATGTCTCCCAGACTGTACTGCAATTTATCATTTTCACTTTTAATCTCCTACATAGCCACCACTTGACTACTTCTCATTCAGTAGGGTTTGCTGCTGCTTGCCATGAGGCAGAAACTGGACTAGTGACAGAGTAACAGTGAATCTCACTGGAATCTCCTTCCAAGTTAAGACACACATTACTACTGGAAATGAATTCAGAATCAGCCAGTGCCAACACAGGGGAATCTCTGCTGTCTTTTTTTTTTTTTTTTTTTAACTTTCATTGTGATTGAGTGATCGTTTACTTGGGAGAACGCTGGTTTTACACCCATCCTATCGTATTTTGTTTCACTACCAGCTATCTTTATCAATAGCTATTTTACTAAATATGTACTACTGTGAGGCACTCTCCTAAACACTGAGTATCTAACTCTGGTATTTTCACACCACCTCAAACAAAGTTTTTCTGTTGTCCTGTTTCTGTCAACATGTAGATGAAGACACAGACTCAAAGAGATAGACTGATCTTGCCCAAGGGTGCACAGTCAGTGACAAAACAATCATTGGAATTTAGGCTTATCTGGCTCCTCAGCTGTTCACCTTTAAGGTCAGGTCCACCATTCATGTTTCAGTTTGTCGTGCTGTGGAGGCTTGCATGTTGCTGTGATGGTTAAAACTATGCCACCCATATTTTAAATACCCGCAGGACTGCCTGTGGTGGACAGGTTTCAGCTGAGCTTCCAGACTGAAAAAGACTAGGAAGAAGAAGAGATGGACTACTTCTAAGGGTTTAGCCACCGAAACCCTAATGAATGGCAGAGGAACACTGTCATCACCAGACTGCTGAATATGGAAACATGACTAGCAATGGAATCCTGTCAGCTATAGTGCCAGGAGATGAGCCTCTCAGGTTAACAGGCACTCAAAATATGACTGGGGAAGGGCTGCCTCCTCAAAATAGAGCTGACCATGATAATGCAAATGAAATAAAGCTTCCTGGACCTTCATTTGCTGATGAAATACAACTCAAAATTAGGAGAAACAGCTGTAAACATCCATCAATAATCAGAGCATGGAATGCATTAAGTATGAATCTAGGAAAATTGAGAATTGTCAAAAATGAAATGGATGCATAAAAATAAATATTCTAGGCTTCATTAAGTGCATCAAGTTGGTTCTGACTCATAGTGGCCCTGTATAGGGTTTCCAAGGAGTGGCTGATGGGTTCCAATTGTTGGTCTTTCAGTTCAAACTGTCCTTGTGGTCTCAGGTGTTTATCCTACCAGCACCACACCAGTACTCCATGTTAGGCATTAGTGAGCTGAAAAGGAAGAGTCTAAGCCATTTTGAATCGGACAGTCATATGACAGGAATGATGGTGAGGAATGCCACTGCATTCATCATCAAAAAGAACATTAAAAGTTCTATCTTGAAGTATAATGCTGTCTGTGACAGGATAATATCCATACACTTACAAAACCATTGTTCAAATTTACCCACCAATCACTAAAGCCAGTGAAGATGAAATTGAATTCTGCTAAGTCTGAAACTGATCAAGCATGCAATTAAGATGCATGATAATTACTGGTGATTGGAATGCAAAGGTTGGAAACAATGAGGACGAATCAGTAGTTGGAAAATGTGGCCTTGGTGATAGAAACAATGCTGGAGATCATATGATAGAGTTTTATCCAAGACTAGTGACTTCATTGTAAATACCGGGGGGTTTGGAAGGTTTCTTTCTAAAACAGCATAAAAGAAAGATGACTACACATGGACCTCCCCAGATGGAATATACAAATTGACTACATATGTGGAAAAGCTCCATATCACCAGACAAAACAAGGCCAGGACAGACTGTAGAAGAGATCATCAATTGCTCATATGCAAGTTCAGGCTCAAAAAAATTAAAACTATCCTACAACAGTAAAAATATGACCTTGAATATAACCCATCTGAATTTAGAGACCATCTCAACATATTTAATGCATCAGACTGATGACCAATAAACAGAAGACCTGTGGGATGACATTGAGAACATCATACAGGAAGAAAGCAAAAGGTCATTAAGACAAGAAAGAAGGAAAAGACCAAAATAGATGTCAGAAGAGACTCTAAAACTTGCACTCCAGCATAGAGATACTAAAGCAAATGGAAGAAATGAGATAAAAGACCTGAACAGAAAATTTCAAAGGCAGCTTGAGAAGGCAAAGTCAAGTATTATAATGATATGTGCAAACACCTGGAGTTAGAAAACCAAAAGGCAAGACCATGCTTACCATTTTTCAAATTGAAAGAAGTGAAGAAAAAATTCAAGCCTTGACTTAAAATATTGAAGGATTCTATGGGCAAAATAGTGAATGATGCATAAAGCATCAGAAGATGGAAGGAATATACACTATACCAAAAAGAGATGGTCTGTGATCAACCCATTTCAAGAGGTAGCATACAGAGGAAGAAGTCCAAGGTGCACTGAAGGCATTGGCAAAGAACAAGGCTCTAGAAATTGATGCAACACAATACCAACAGAAAAATTTCAACAAGCTATTGTAGTACTGGAGGAGATTCATATTTGCACCCATTAAAAAGAGAGGTGACCAAATGGAATATAGAAATCGTCAGACAATATCTTTAATATCACAGGCAGGTAAATTTTGCTAAAGATAATTTAAAAATGGCTGTAAAAGTACACTGGCAGGAGAACAAACAAAATGGAGGATTGGGTGGAAGTGCAGTAAGAGCTCCATCAGCAACAAAGAATACAGGACAAAGCAGGCTCAGGGGATGGTGCCAGAACTCTGAACCACATATAAAGGAATATTTAGAAGGTTGGAAGGCTTACAGCTGGGGGAATTTTTAACAGAAGCAAAAAATCCATTGCTTTCTAATTCAAGACACTCAGCTGCTCCAGGAGCCGCCATCTTGGGTGAGACCAAGCGGGGGAAGGATCTGAGCAGCCACAGACACTGGACAGAATCGCAGAGAAAAGGGTGTGGACATTCTTTGCTTTTGGCATCTCTTCATTAGTCGCTTGCTGTCTGCACACATCCATTCTGGTGACTTAAAGGGGTGCCCGAGCTAGTGGACACCCCAGCCCCACCTTGGGAGGGTTCTACTACGCATGTGCACGGAGCTCCTCAAAATTTAAAGAGACAGTTTCCATGAAAACCAAACAGCCACAGCCAGCCCTGTACTGTTTATAACTAGAAAAAAGGCCTGAATGGGGATTATGGAGCGGGACAGGCAGACAAAAAAGGAAACAGCCAAAAATTAAACCGTAAGTTAAAGGG